TGGACACAATCCCATTCACAGTAATATCAAAGACAATAAAATATCTGTGAATAGACCTAACCAAGGTAGTGAAAGACCTCTATAAGAAAAGCTTTAAACCTCTAGAGAAAGAGACAGAGAAAGACAATAGAAAATGAAAAGGTAGCACATGTTCATGGATTGGTAGAATTAACATTCTACCAAAACGAATTTACAGATTCAGTGAAATATCAATCAAATTTCCTGTCATATTTCTTAAAGAAAGAAAAAAACTATTCTAAACTTCATATGGAACTAGAGAAGAGTCTGGATTGACAAAAACGGTCCTGAGCTAAAAGAACAATGCTGGAGGCATCTCCATTCTAGATCTTGAGATAAGTTATAGAGTCATAGTAATGAAAAACAATATGGTATTAACAAAAAACAGACATGTAGAACAAAGGAACAAAGTCAAAGACACAAACACAACCAGGCCCTGATGGCACACACCTTTAATCCCAGCACTCAGGAGGCAGAGGCAGAGGCAGACGGATCTCTGAGTTCAAAGACAGCGTGGTCTACAGAGCAAGTTCCAAGACAGCCAGTGCTGTTACACAGAGGAATCTTGTCTCGAAAAACAAAAAAAAAGCAAGCAAACAAAAAGACACAAACACATCAGCCCTCATATTCCACAAAGGTGCCAAAAACATATGGAAAGTATCTTCAACAAAAGATGCGGGGGAAACTGGATATCCACACACAAAAGAGTGAAATTAGATCTGCATCACCTTGTCCAAAACCTAACTCCAAATGGAACAGAGACCTAAACGTGAAACCCAAAACACTGAAGCTAGTACAATAAAATATAAGCAGCACCATGCATGATATAGAGATAGGAAAGGACTTCTTGGCTGGAACTCCATTTGCCTAAGAATTAAGGCCAACAATTTACAAATAGGACTTCTTAAGACTTAAAAACTTCTGTACAGCTAACTGGTGAAGTCTTTGGAATGGGAGAGAATCATTGCCAGCCACACATCTGACTGAGGATTAATATCCAGAGTAAATAAAGAACTCAAAAACAAAAACAGTCAAAAAAAACAATCTGTTCAAAAATGGACTTGGGATCCAAACAGAGGGTTCTCAAAATAAGAAATAAAAATGTCTAGAGAATATCTCAAAACATGCTGATCATCCCTAGAAGTCAGGGAAATGAGAACTAAAACTACTTCGATGTTTCATCATACCCAAGTCAGAATGGGGCAAAAAATCAACAAAACAACCTACAACAAATGCTGGAGGGGATGTGGGGGGGCTGAAGAACCTTCATTTATTGTTGGTGGCTTTGCAAACTGGTGCAGCCACCGTGGAAATCAGTGTAGAGAATGATCAAAAGCTAAATATAAATATAAACTATCATATAACTCAGTCACACCACTATAATATGTCCAAAGTACTCAGTGTTCGACTCCACAGATACTTGCTCAGCCATGTTCATTGTTGCTCTGTGCACCATATTTAATAAACAGATGCAACCTAAATGTCCTTCAGCTGACAAATGAATAATGAAAATGTGACACATATACAACATGGGATTCTATTTAGCTATAAAAATTAAAGTTGCAGGTGAATGGAACTAGAAGAATGATATTGAGCAAAGTAACCCAGGCCCAGAAAGACTAACATTGCGTGTTTTCTCACATGAGGCTCCTAGCTCCATCCAAATCCTCAGATGTGAATATATAACCTGGAATAACTGCAGAAACCAGCAAAGTTAAAAGGGACCACTGTGGGGAGACAGAGGAGGCGCAATAGAGAGGGGAACAGCAAGGTACAAGTGATCTGAAGTAAAAGTGGAAAAAACAGTGGACTTCAATGGGGAGGGAGAGACAAACAGATACAGCAGAAGGAGGGAAGTAGGCAAAAATATCTATACGAATGCCCGGAAATATCATAAGGAACCACACTATTAACTACCTAAAGATACCTATAGTACATGTTAATGTGTACAAACACATAGTTTAAATGAAATTTTTCCATCTGGCCTGACAATACTACCTCCCATGAGCCAAAGACCACCTAACAAAAAACTCAATATGAGGCTTGAAAAGCCCTTCTGAGTTGTTGGGCCATGCTGTCCAAGAACCTCTCCCAACATTACAGGCTATGGCTACTGCCCTCGGTGGCCTTCCAGAGGTGTTGCTGAAGACACTATGCATTTCATTCAGCCAGAGGCCCCTAAGCTGAAATTGTTCTGAAAGTCTCTTCCCTGTGGACTATTTTTCCTTGTATCAGAAGATGTCGCATGCTAGCTTCCAAGGAAGGGAAGCAACAAAGAGTTCTACCTACCTGTGATGCATTGGTAAAAGACAATATCTATCCTCAATTTCTAATGGCCAATGATTTTCAATTATTTTGTCATAAAACTAAACATGTTTCCCCCTCTCTGCAGAAGCATGTAGGCACACAAAAGTTATGATTATGTTCGGGGAGAATTGTACTTTAGCATTTGCTTAGTTACTGGATTCTAGCAACCAGGTAATGTCCATTGCAAGCATGATGTGCCAGGCTGGCTTACCTAGACAGCACTGGTATTCATCTAAGTTGGGTAAGTTCCCTGAATACTAAATAAACAATACATTTCTGCAATAATTTCAATTCTGGTCTAGATCTTATTATCTTAGGGAAAGAATGTTCAGAACAGCAGAGTCTATGAATGAATCTGATACGTTTAACTCTATTTCTCACAGTAATAAATTACCATTCTGAATTTTATTTTCAATAGGAAGTCCCGCTTTATTTGAAAGCATGTCATGTCCTCTGCAAGCTAAGCAAGGCTCAGTAAACCAGGAGGCTGCAAGCTCAAACAAAGCTGCCCTTTTTAGAGCTCCTCTTTCACCTTCCAGGATGTTAATGGCCAGCCCACTCTCAATAGGGGATCAAATTACCTTTGCATGAACCTAGGCAGACAAACTTACCCCTCCACTAGGGCTTCTATCCCTTGCCTTCCCTCCCAATCTTCCCACACCCCTCTTCAGGAACACACACTGCCCAAGCTCTCAACACAGGCCTCACAAGGCCCCAGTGGAGAGGGTGCAGCTCTGTCAGTAGTAAATACCCCTCCCCTGCCCCCACCTTGCCCTCAGCCTGAGCACACTGGAGACCTAACAGAAGAGCTGAGACTGCTCTGAGTTAAAATCAAGGAAGAGCCACAACTTAAACAGACAAACCAGGGACAAGCTTCAGCCAGGGGTGTGGTGTAAACAGCCGACATGGAAAAACAGTCTTATGTTATTGTGGTGTTCAAAGCCATTCTCAAGAGAACCTAGCAAAACCAGACATTCAAGCATATGAAATGTATGGTGGTTACATCAATTGCCTACCCCATTCTGGAGTTTCTTTTAAAATAACGCCCATGAAATGTGAATTAAAGAAAGAAAGCCTGTTTCCTGAGCCTTGAAAAGTTATTCTTTGGGGGGTCGACGATTTAAACCACTGAGCCCCATTATTAGAAAATTATCTTTGAACACATTTACATTGACACAGATCCTAAAATTGTTGGAGGAGAAAATCAAAATAGCAGGTTATCCGCTGGGTCTCTTAACATCATCCCCAAAAGAGAAGAAAGTAACTTGTCCTTGACCTGCCCCATGAGCTCTGCAGACAGTCCCAGGCCAGGACTCTGCTCTTCCTAAAATGGTTGGGAGCTGCAACCTTCCAGGGAAACACTGGACATCAGGAAATGGCCCAGCCATGCCCACACTAGTCTCACCCAGCACTTGCCCAAAAAGTGTGCTACTCAACTTAAATTGTACTAGGCATGGGGACATAAAAATACGTGCGGAGGACATAAAAACACATGCAGAGCACACAGGGCAACGAGAAGCCAAGAGTATTCCCTTCTGTGTCTGTTCTGTTCAAGAAGGGTACCACAAAAAAGTACCTTATGGCCACATCAATGACAATTATTACTGTATATAAAATGCCCCCATGGATGGCATTGTATTGTCGAAATTAAAGGCACCCCCGAAAGAACAGCACAGAGGGGCTACCACCAATTAACTCCCAGGAGGAAATAAAGACAGAAGTGTGAAGGAGGGAGAGAGGGAGGGAGGAAGGGAGGGAGAAAAGGAGGGAAAGGAACAAGGAGTAACAGGGACAAAAGCAGCAGATGGTGCCAGGCAGGAGTGTGCCTACCACACCGGGCCTTCCCGTTACTTCATTTACTCTCCTTTGCAGCCTGGGAATAAACAAGTCACGCGTCACCCGGTGTCTCAAGCTCAGCATGGCTTGATCTGAGTGCCCGTGTATGTGTTCATTCTATAACTGATTTAAGGAACAACTTTCTGCTCATTGCCTCTATCTTCTCAAACATTTCGAAGCAGTTATTTTTTATAAGAAAATATAAAACAGGCCGACTAAATTCGATCTTTCTCTCCCCAGCTGCTAGTTTCTTATCTAGCTGCTTTAGGCAGTCTCCACAGATTGCAGCCAGGCCCCTATTCTCAATTCCATCTGACTTCTGACAGCGCTCTCCATTTCTTATTTGCAGCTTAGACATCTTCACTGAGAGCAGGAGTAATTCATTCAAATGACAATGAGGTATCTGAATATCACACAAACACTTCAAATTCTGTTTATTGGAAATAGATCTGCTCCTGCCCCATCATAACAATCCTTTTTATCTTACTTAACAGGGGCAAGAAAATCTTTCACTTCATTTCCTATCATCTCAAATGAGTTCCTGTACATGAATGACTTAAGGTAACCATATCCAACAACTTGAAGCCAACCAGTCCCTGGTCCTACTACAGACGTTAGGGAACATATGTGAAAACCTGGTGTACAACCTAAATCATAACTAGACAGAAGACAGCACTATTTCCTGGTCACATAGAAAGCAGAATAGCATCCTCACACCAATGAGGAAAATGTCATGAAGGCAGGAGAGATCATGACTGAGGTGATACTTTTACTCCTGGAACACTTGAGAAATAATTACCACAGGTTCCTTGCAGGAATGATAGAACTCTACACAGTAATCACTTAATAAATGTTAACCTTTATTATTATTATTTTTTTTTATTAAATGACACTGAAACATAGAAGAATGCCCCAGCAAAACAAAAGGTAACAAAAACCCATCGATACTCTATTCTGGGTACTTAAAGGTACTCACATTTCTTAATTAACTGCTGCTATATGCAAGAATAGTGTAGCTACTTTGCATAAATTCTCTTCTTCAGATCTCACAGCCAGCCTTATATTCACCATCATCTCTCACTCTAAAGTGGAAGCGTCGGACCACCTCATTTGGGGCCTAAATATTTGCCACTCAGTACACGTTCAAATTAATCACCTGCTGCATTCCCTGAACTTTTCTCTTTCCAAACCTTTCTTAAAAATCAATATTAATTTTCTATAAATAAGAAAACACAGATGAATAATAAGTACAAAAAGTAAGCATCACTCATTATCTTTTATCCAAATATAACTCTTAGTACTACTGGGTGTATATAATTCCATAGATTTTAGTGTCTTTTGTAACCATGATTTAACCCCCCATATGTAATCATACTCTGAATACTGCTCTTTAACTTCCCTTGCTCACTTAACAATGTATGATGAAAATCTTTTCCTAGCAATACTGAGTTCCATCAGTACATTTACCACACACCATGGACATTCTTTAATCTAGTTAGTCATTTCAGTGTGTTGAGCACCGAAGTTCTTCCCAATGTCCTTAAGACAGTGCTGACAGGAACAGCCTTGCACAGAGTCTTTGGCCAGTGATTCAGTTATCTCCTTAGGACAAAAGGGTTACATATTTTAAGGCTTAATGATATGTATTGCCAAATGCCCACCACCAGAGTTAGAAAGGATCCATTTTGCTACACCATCCTTTATGACACAGTGTGGGGAGGACATTTATATTGACCCCAATTCTTTCCTAGTTAAAAACTACATTCAACAAGCCTTCTGCAATGGACTTCACACTGTTTTACTGATTTAACCCTACTCTCCACACTCTCCACTCTAAGAAGGCTGTATTGACTACCATAAGATTTCCTAAAGTAATGCCTTTCTCACATCATCTACCCTCAACTCCGGTCTCATGGAATGCACTAACTTCCCTACTCCATTCAGGATTCCCTTTCAATGGCTCTGTCTTCCCTAAAGTTTTAGCTAACTCCTGTAGCCAGCCGCCAAAGCCTTTGCCTCCTCCATGCTCGGAAGGCACACATCTGACAGAATGCATGCTCCAAATAATCTTGGGGTTTGGTTTTGGGGTTCTTGTTTGTTTGTTTGTATGTTTCTTATCTCTACAACTAGATTATAAACCAAAGGATGGGATAGTTTCTTCTTCTGTTGTTTCTTTCCAGCATTAACATAAATCTTTATTGATGATGCACAAATAAAATGGATGCAAATGACAAAAAAGAGCCTACTTCAGTTGAACTGGTTCACCATCACTAATGCGGAGGAAACAGTAAAAATATTTCAATCTAGGCAGCGAAATGAAAAGCAACAAACATATTTTCAGGACAAGTAGTGATAGTCATTCATCCAACTTAAACCTGAAGACAAACTCGGTTAAATATATCAGTCTCAATGACACAGTACAATGTTCATTATTCAAAACTGGCAGCTGAAAGGATTCCTTTGCCGTATAAACAAGGTGGAGAAAAGGAATAGTTTACAAGATGTGTTGCTGCTCTACTACAAAGTCACCAAGTTATTCCTGACTTTTGGGGAACATTCGCTCAGTCAGTTTGGCTGCGAATTTCCCAACTTTTACTTTCACTAGAAAGTCATGGTAGCTTTCCATTCCCAGAACCTTATCAGCACACACTTGAAATTCTTTTAAAAAGAAAAAAAGCGAGCCCTCACTAAAGTGATTCTGAGAAGGCTCGTTTTCTTCCCATGTGAAATTGTCATTGATGTTTTCAAGAACAATCACAAGTTTAAGAATAACCTCTTTGTTCTCCTTCTTATTAAAGAGGGAGCCCAGTGCAGGGGGCACCTGAGCCCGGAGCAGTTCTCTAGTCATGGCTGGGTTTTCAGCCAGATTCAAAAGGAGTTTCAAAACCTGAAGTTTGGTTTCTTCATTTCCTGCTGAAAATAAGCGAAAAAAGTCTGAAATGGAATTAGCAAGTATGTGCTGATACTCATTAGTAACAGTCATATTCGTAAGCAATCGGAGGCCAGCCAGCTGCACAGACGAGTTCAATCGAGACGTGAGTGTGTCATCACACACTTGATTCATGTATATCTTAAGCCTGCGCTGATTTTCAGCATTCACACTCAGGTTATTTAGGACAATTAAAGCCTTTTCCTTAACAATGGGATCCCGAGTATTGAGAATCTTTGCCACAATTGGGAGACCACCCAAATCACGAATAATATCTCTGTTAAACGCGTAAGCAGCATTATTACCTAGAGCAATTAAAGCTGCTTCAAGAATATAAGGCTTTTCAGACATCTCAACCAAACAGAGCACTTTCTGTAACTCTTGAGGGGACAAAACAGTATCATCTGAATTAGGAGAAGCCCTTTTCTGGACAGCTCTCCGAGCCCTGGTAGCCCTGGCTCTGGCCCTGGCTCTAGCTCTGGTTCCTGCTTCAGTGCCAATCCGGGCCCAAGGTGGGTACCAAACTATACTCTTGCTCTCATTACTGTCATCGTCATCAGAAGAGCAGTCATTATACCTGGCCCCAGAACAGTCCCCAGCATCATCCACATCAGCAGAGCCACCCTCAGCCATTTTCTCCTTGCTCTGCTTTCTTCCTCGGGCCAATCTGTAAATGCAATAGCAGGCTCCAGCCCCAATCACCAGGCCCGCAGTCACCCAGCCTACTTTCCTGGCGTAGCCCATGCAATCGTCCCTGACCGACAGCAGGGACAAAGAAATAGAGTAGTCACTCAAAATAGGGGAAGAGGGCTTCAGGCCTAAGTGCAGGCCTGTGGAGAACGGTCTTCTTCAGTCACTTCAAGGCCAGTGTAACTGGTTCTGGAGACAAATCTAGAAATGGAAGAAGGAAAGAGGGTTTGGCTTTCTCTTCTCTGTGCTGCTCCATGCAGACAATCGCAAAGAGGGGCCAGAAAGTAGTAATTGAATTCTCACTAGGGAATACATATTGTTGACAAAAACCTCAATCTCCCTCATTTCCCTCTCTCCCAAATACCTCCCCCCTTCCCCCACCCCCAGTCACTCTTGCCTCTAAGCATAAAGCCAACGGCATCCACAATTTTTATGGGCTCTCATCTGTTACAAGCTCCTTGTCTACCTCCCTCATTTCCCTCTCTCCTTGCATGCCTCTTCCTCCCCCTCCCCCCTCCCCCCACCCCCAGTCACTCTTGCCTCTAAGCATGAAGTCAACGGCATCCACAAATTTTGCTGAGCTCTCATCTGTCACAGCTCCTGAGGTACTCCCATGGGATAAGTGCCCATACACTAACCTCCTGCAAGCAAGCAGTTTGCCCCCTTCTTCCTTTCCTGTGAGGTATTGCCACGCCCAATCTTTCTGATCTGCAGCGATACCAGAAACAGAAAAAAACGAGGGCTTGTTGCATGGACTGTATATTTTATGCTTTCCTAATTTACCATTCAGGTTGTCAGATTTTTGTTAAACCTCACTGTGCCATCCATCCAAAACATGCACAGGATGAGCTCCCTCCCTAGTCTGAAATAGGTGGATGTAAGGAAACAAAGTAGGATTAAGTGAGCCTGGCCAAACCCAGTCTGATTTCTAGCCCCTCCCCCATTCCAGGCTGCCCCCACACCCACACCGACCTCTGCTGATCCGGGGAAAGTTCCTCCCTTAGCTTCAAGCGGTGCCACCTGCTACAGCAGACCTGCAGGATGACAGATCGAAAACATGGACACTAAGTGCTGCTGAGAGAGAAGGATTATGAACAAACTATCTGATAGGTTTTCCTGCTGTCATCCCGCCCCCCGCCCCCACCTCTGTGAGCACATTCACATACACACACACACACACAGACAGACAGAGAGAGAGAGAGAGAGAGAGAGAGAGAGAGAGAGAGAGAGAGAGAGAGAGAGAGAGAGAGAGAGAGAGAGAGAGAGAGAGAGAGAGAGCACGCCATTTCTCCACAGTTCGGGGAGTGTGAGAAACACATTTAGACAAACCTAGATTACCTTTTCTGGTTTTCCCCCTTTTTTACCCCCGCGGCTACTAGGGTCCCCAGATGGTCTTACCCTCAAATCGACCTTCACCGATCTGGTTAATTTCCTTCCTCTTTTCTTGCCTGGCGTGGTACCACAACCTACGGAAAGACTGTCCACCCGGGAGAGGCTTGGACCCACTAGACACAGAGCCATGGTAAGGAAGACACGGCCACAGGCAGAAAGACGGGAAACAGCCGCTACAGAGTGCTTGGTGGACGGACCAGTCCCCAGAGAACGAAACTCTTTCCTAATTCGGAGGCCTGGTTTTTAAAGGTTTCCCGCCCAATAGTCGGCTCAGGGTTCAGCTGACACATCACATTGCACCCCACTTCGCCGGACCCCATGTCCAGTTTTTCCCCGCTGGCACAGTCCTGGTGGACCAGGGGCCAACACCCAAGCCACAGCTCCCTTTCCGGATTGCCGGCCTCAGCTGGCAGCAGATTCCCATCTCCTGCTTTCTGAGCGCTTGCCCAAACACCCCCTACTCACTGTTTGCAGCATCGAATGGGCTGCGGGCGGGACACATATCTTGGGAAGAGGAAGGCAAGTGGGAGAGACGACGGCAGCGCCCCCGGACCTGCGACGGCCTCCGCCCTCCACCCTCCACCACCCGCACTTTATGAAATATCCCAGGCACTGACCTGCAGGGATCCGGGACAATTTCTTTTCCGCCTCCTCCTTGCCTCGGCTGCAGGCCCGCCCGCCCTCAGGGTAATAGGGAGCTGGTACTCAGACGGGAACAACGACCAGGACAAGAAGGACTTCTGCACACGTCAGCTCTTGGTCACGTGAGAGCGACGTCATCCACCAACTCGGATCCCCACTTTCCCCTCCCACCAGCAGTGCGGCAGAAGAGGACCCGCCCCCCTTCATTCCCTCCCCCATACTAGGCCTTGTTACTCTTTCTTCTTTGCGACTAATCCCGTTTTCCTCTAGTTGTGTTTCCCTTCCTCCACTTACCAAAACAGGACAGCATCCTCCCCTGGGGCTACTGGCCACTTGTACTTTTTTAAATTGACTCTTCCTTCCCTAGACTCCTGGGACAGCAGCTTCTCCCTCTACCTCCCCTCCTCCGGGCTAAGAATCTCTACCATTTCCTCTGAAATGTAGTCCTAGACCTAAAATGAATAAGCCACCAGAAAAGGAAACCTGGAATGAGAGTGTATCTTTTACTTTCTTCATACTTTTTTGGTTATTTTCACCTTGGCGTTTCCCCTGTTCACATCCTGCATTCTATTTATAGGGGGGAAATACAAAAAAGTATTTCCATAGGGGAAAACTAGGAGTAGAGGCGGGAGATCAATGCTGGGTGATGGCCTCTAAAAGTCCCACATTTGTCAATTAGTGGAAAGTGTTACCCACTTACTCAAAGGAATTTTAATGTCTTCTGGGGCCTGTCACATAACACAGCTGAATGAACATAACATAACGTGAATGAACTAATCAGCCTGCCTGAGAATATGTAAATCTTCTGACTAAGCAACAGGCTTTGAAGGTCACAAGTTAACCAGGAGGAGGCTTGGGCTCTCTGGAACCTGGAACAGAAAAGATTGAGGAGAAATCAAGTCTGTTAGATAAAAAGGTACACACACTGATAGGCAAGTGATATTCAAAGAACATTGTGAAATATACTGGGATACAAATAAATACAGAACAACTTCTGCAGATGAAAAAGTATTACAGGGACACAAAGAGCAAGGCAAAGTTGACTGAACTTGGCATCTAGCAATTAGTGTGAAGTCATTGCACTGATTAGTTTGGTAAGCACAAGAATTCTCTTGCAATTTTAACTTTCAGAGGCAGAAGAGGGAATAAAGTAATTACGGTCTCTCATTGTTTAAGTTAACCAGGTTTGGTTTCGGTTGCTGGCTGCCCAACAAGGCTAACTTAATACATAGTACAAAAACCAAATAACACCATACATAGTGTGATGGAGCTTTCCTAAATATGAGCTCTTCTGTGAAAAATTCCCTAGTAGTTTAGATACAAGTTTGGTATCTGGATAGAAGTTTCCAAATCCACAGGAAACATGGGAGTAAATCTAGAGTACAAAGAGTTTAGGAAAATTTGTATCACTGTAGCTTCTAGAAAGCAGAACTGAGACGCTATTTTGAATTTAGTAAACTGAGCCAAATCAACTGTATGGCTCTGTATTTAGAGAAAGTTCAAGTGCAACAAACAGACTCATTCACTCACAAAAAGGGCTTCTGAGGAAAATGTTAATAGTTCCCATCAAGTACTGTCTAGAAGAGAGGAAGTTCTGGCTAAGGTAAAGGGGGCATTTCATCCTTGGCAAAACAATCTCCATGATGTATAAGAATACTTCAAACTTCCTAGGCTAAAAGTCACTTCTTAAGATGAATGAATGCCCTCGCTCTGATTCTAGGTTCATCAAGCAATCTGCTGAAGCTGACTTCCCAAGTTGGAACTTGTCTGCAGGAGAGTATGGACAGGTAAGACACGCAGGAGAGCATGGAGAGGTGAGACAGACAGAAACCTCTTCTGCCCCCTGACACTTGTACTTCTCAAGGTAATTTATTCAGTTGCTACTCCTGTTGAAACGTAACTTTCATTGTAGCCCATTTAACAGGAGGAGAAGACAGAGACTGGTGAGTGTGACATTCAGATCTCAGTTTATATGTGCATCTTTGAATGAGAGTCTATCACTGGCAGAAGCATCTGCTCTCTGTTTCCAGACACAAGCTGGGGTAGATGGTACAACGCTCAAGACAACACCCTGAACTATATATGCAACCCTATGGAATCCTGTCAGGGAAGCCAGGTGGCTTTGGTTCCAAGGGCCACATTATGCATTATCATTTCATATTGCATCTTTCTAATGATCAGGTAATGTAGAAAGTACGACTCAGACATGTGATGGCAGACAGGTTTCTAGCTTCTCAGTGACAGCTACACAAAGGCTTACTGTGCAAAATAATTAAAGGACGATATGCACTTGGACTGGAAATGTGGATTAAATGTCCAATAACACTTACTGCTCTTGCAGAGAACCCAAGTGCAGTTCCTATCACCCCCATTGTGGGGCTGGCTCACAATTGCCTATAACTTCAGTTCCAGGGATCTGACCCCTTCTCTCTTACCTTCATTGCATGTGGTGCTATAGACAAACAGGAACACACACATCACACAAAAAGTAAAGTCAAAAGTTTCAAAATAAATCATTTTAAACAATTTACAGTTTATACTAAAGAAAAGGAGTGAGTGCATTTCACATTTAACATACTCTGTATTTCCCTAGCAAAAGAGATGGGTATTATGGCCAAAACACACCAACCAGAAACTATCCGGCTAAAATTTTAATCTTAAGCAAGGAGATAACAACCTGAAACCAGGGAAGTGTAGGTGAAACCATCCTCTGTCAGTTTCTCCTACCTAGATCCCTGACCTTGCTCCTTAACATTTGTTCTCTGTGTTAACCAGACTTGGATAAGCTGCTTGCAATGAGACAACCCTAACTAAGCTACAATACCACATCAGGTAACGCAGTATCCGAAGGACTACAGCTTTTCAAATGCCAACCTTCCGTTTTGTCTCCCTCCATAGTCCATAGTGTTACAAACCATTGATCCTTTTTTATTTTCAGATACTTTATAAGTCATGTATTATGTGTAGCCACCAAAAGGTTTCCTTGGGAAGTGACTTTACACGCTTTTGTTTGTTTGTTTCCACAGGCTCCTAAAACATTAAACAGACTTGCCTGGGTACTTAAGCATTTTCTCTTTTCACTTTTAAGATGGTGTATCAGATGTCTACTATGTCCTTTAAAAAGTATTTGTGTGTGCATACAATGGAGAACAGAGTGGTTTTAAATCATAGCCCCTGTGCTTGTTGGTAGGAACTATGAATTAAAGTGACAAAGAGGTAAACTAATTGAGAAGGTTCATGCTCCTGGTTTTTAAGAAGTTTTAGACAGGGAGTGGATTCAAACTTGAAGGGCCTGACAAATTGAGAGATTGGTGGTTTCTTCTGTCTTTTGTGCTGAAATGACTGGATGATATAGCAAAAGGGAGAGAAATTTTGTAGCAATGAAGAGAAGTAGGCGTGAAGCTTTTGTCCTTGAAACTTGACACAATGTGAAAATGAGTTCATATTGCAGAACCAATCACCTGCCGTTATTAAGCTCTGCATATTTCTTAGTTCTTCCCCATGTTTATATTCAAATGAACAGGGGTCTCTTGTGTAAGTTCATGGTAGGCAAACGCTAAAAGCAAAGTTTAATCTGAGTGTTTCCTTCCTATATTTTCAGAAACAGAATTCACTTAACTAAGAAAATCATAGAAAGACAGCATAAGAGCACAGTAGCAAAACAAATGAAACAGAGAACTAGAGAAAATGAGACCTGATATTGGGAAGACCAGAGAGTGATGATATGTTTGTTCCGGAGTTCTTATATTTGCCAACAAGGCATCATAGATTCCCTGGCTCACCTCCTGCAAGGGCCTCCTCCACACAGGGCCCTTCACAGGGAAGGCCTCTGGCAGGAGTCAAATTTCAATATGCTAAGAAAGAAGCAGCCTGGGGGGTCTATATTTAGAGTATGACTCCCAGCAGTGAACAGGTGGTGCCCTGAGGACTCACTCTCCGTATCTTGTCCCTGAGTTCTGAGGGGTTTGTGAGGGTGGTGCAGTAAAGTTTTTAGGGAAGGCAGGGAGTAAAAAGGACTCTTTCTCCCAGAGACAACTTGGGATACTGTATTTTGGTCTTCTATCTATGAAAGGGAAAAGAAATCGATGTCACCAGTGTTTTAACAGTCTACAGTCATTCACAGACCCTCATCCTCATTGTCACTGGAAATGAAGTCTTCATGCTGAAGACTCACCGTTGATATGGTGATATAGTGCATAAATGGCAGGCCTGAGGAGGTCTTATGGTGGCATGAAATCTCCCCTGTCAAGTATAAACTGCCATCAATGGGATAGATAGCAGAGAGTTCCCTAATTCCAGAGTGGTTCGTGGTTTTTGCATCATGAAACTACAGTCCAGAATTTAAATTCCTTTGAATGAAAAGCAGGTAGCCTGTGATGTTACTAATTTGTAAAGTTTACCTAACACCTAAGTTGGTGTCTGCATAAAATCTATATTTTGGGTGAGACTGAAAACCATTGTTGAACCTGTACAAGATCTCAGTCAGCTGAAACCTGTGAGTTCACTCAGGATAAAAAAAGGGGGGGGGGCAAATAAATGGTTCACACATCTAAAATGGTCACAACTTCAACATTGACCTCACTACTAATCCATTTATGTTTCATTGATCCTACTGAAAGCATGCTGGGTTTGTTTGTAAGGATATATTTTAAAACTGTCAAACGCTGTTTTAACCCTGTTATTTAGAAGAAAATATTTCTGATGTTGTACTAATTAACTTTGCCAAATCAATGAGATCTTGCTATTAACGGAAAAATCTTAATTTCTTTTTTGCATACAATTTTAAAAGATTGGAATTTTTATCTATCAAAGTGGAAACGGCTTCATTTTTTCTTATGATTACAAAATATAGGAGAAATGAAATAAAGCATAACTGGATCAAAAGTGTTAATACAGTTTCCATTCACATCTGGGATTCCTTTGCTGCTCACTCTCCCCAACTGTGATACAGAGACTGAAAATAGAGACGGATAGAAATTAAAGAAAAGGATGCAGAAGTTTGAAAACCAACGAAAGGCTCAGGCAATTTTCCCAAGAAGAAAGTGTGAATGCACGGCAATTCGAGGAAGTCAAACTCAAACAAGACAAACGGTAACTTCTGTTTGCTAGTATTGTCATAGAGAAAAAGACTAACAGGGCCTCAAGTATTGGGGGAGGCACGGCGCCTACTGGCGCCTGCCGCACTGCTTGTGGGAGTGGAAATTGGGGGCTAGAGCTCGCTGGTGACGTGGCTGTCACGTGACCGAGAGCCGCCTAGAGCCGAAGTCCTGTTAGTCGCCTTCGACTGGGTACCAACCCCCTATTACTCTGCAGGCGCCTGAAGGAGAAGGAAACTCGCTGAGACCTTACAGGTCGGTGGATGCTGCTTGGAAGGTGATGGGGGTGGGAGAGGTCCAAGAGCATCACGCATTCAAGTTCCGCAGAGAGGGGCTATGTCCTTTTCTCACCTACTTTTAAAATATCTATCCCCGACCCGCATCCCACCCTCGGTTCTTTTAATAGAGCGAAGTGGCGGGCTCCAGGTTGGGGTGAGAGGGGTGAACAGCGGTTGCACAAAATCCAAGCGAAGAAAGATCCACAATCCGGTCACCGTGTCCTGGGTGCTTGCTGGTCAGTCCACCAAGCACTCCATCCGCCCCGCACCCGGTCCCCGGTCCGTTTGCAGGTCTTTAGGTCTCGGCTCAAGCCTTGGCTAGAGAGGGAGAAAACCGCTTTGATTGGAACCTTGCTGCAGGTTTGAAGGTGGGATTCATGCAGAACCTAAGAAGGCGGTGGAAAAAGAGGGGGGCTGGGATCGTTGCGGGCCAGGTCCTAGTCGCCCTCTCCTGGCCCCTTCTCTCTCCAAACCCCCTCCCATTTCGGTGCAGGGAAAGGGGTGTGGCGGCCTTTGCTGGGGAAATGGCGGACAGGGAGGGGGCGGGGAGGTCCTCGTTAGCAAAGTCGGGAGAGTGTGAGAAATTATTTTGACTCAAAAATCCCAAATGCCGAAAAGCACCTATCGGTGTAGTTAGATCTGTCCAACTACACTTTCAGTTCTCCATTGCTGTCTACATCGCTTTTCGATTGTCCTTTTGCCAAGCTCAGTCTATCACCCTGGAAGGAATACAGCAGAAGACACGAGAAGAACAAGGAATTCACTTGACATTTGAAAGGTTGGTTAGAAAACATACTATGTTTCTTTGGGTGGGGAAGAGGAGGAGAAAAAGTAGGTGGGTGTTAAAGGAGACTGCATGAGGATTAGCTGTCCCTGTCACCTGCCTACTATCATAACACAGTCTCCTCTCCTGTCTATCTCTGAGAATCCTGAAAGCAGAAAAGTAGATCCCGAGGGTAGATATGGGAAGGCAGAGAAGAACAATGAAATCATGACCTAACAAACCAACTTTCCCAACAAGAATTCAAACTCCTATCTGTCTGAGCAGAAACGAACCCAGTCACAGTTTAGACCCCTAATGTTATTTCTTTCGCTCTTAGAGTCATCACAAGAAGCTTAGGAGAGGCTGAAGAGTACTAGACCGCACCATTATTCACAAATCGCCGAGAGTTTTCTTCAGTCAGGTGAACAAAGTCCCTCTCCTGTTTGGCCAAAAGACACACACACAAGCACACACACAAGGATGGGTCGGGCCCGGGAAATGGGTTGGATGGCAGCAGGGCTGATGATTGGGGCTGGTGCCTGCTACTGCATGTACAAACTGACCATGGGAAGAAATTCCAGTAACGAACCAGAGGAAGAGGAGGACAATGAATGGGATGAGGAGCAGGATCTCGATGAAGAGGAGGCAGACCTTTGGTTTGATTTCACAACAATGCCACGACCCTGGAGTGAGAATGGGCACTGGGATGAACCTGGGGCCCCAGGTGGGACTGAGGACAGACATTCAGGTGGTGGGAAGGCAAACAGAGCACACCCAATAAAACAACGACCATTCCCGTATGAACATAAAAATACGTGGGCCGCTCAGAGCTTTAAATCCTTCAACTGTTCTCTTGTCCTGACCGAGAGTGATTCCATTCAAGGGGAAAAACTGTCCACTGAGCCCACAAATGCTGGCTATTCCCTTAGCCACAATGTCAGTAGGCATTTGGCCAGCCTCTCAGTGGTTGGAAACAGGATCCCCACCCCCCAGCCCACTGTGAGGGAAAAGGCTTTGTGTGTCCCTGAAAACCCGAACACCAGTATTGGAAATCAGGACCAGATTAAGATGTACATCGGTGAAGTGTGTCGAGAGACGGTGTTTCATTGCTGCAAGTCATTTCTGCAGCAGGCCGGATTAAGTCTGCTAATGAGCATGACAGTTATTAATAACATGCTTGCCAAGTCGGTTGCAGACCTGCGGCTTTCTTGGATACCTGAGGGACGTGGATGTGCGAAGGTTCAGGCTTTGGAACCGCTGATGGGTTTGTCTGAAAAGCCCGTGCGGGTGGGGGACGCGGTGGCTGCCCAAACGCTATTCTCTTTCATGCTCCTGTACATCAGAAATGGGAGCAGAGAGATGCTTGTGGAAGCCCTCTCTCCATAAAGGGCCGGCTGGAGCAGAAGGAGACTGAATCCGCCCAGAGCCCGAGCAGTCCACTGAGGGCAAACAAACTGCACTGGGTGCAAGCAAGGATGCGGCTTTAGCGGGGCAGCAGCTCCTCCTCGGCCAAAAGTTCCAATCCCTAACTGGAGGGCCACAGTCTTCTTGGCCCGGCTGGGCTCCCCAGAGCTGTGGGCAACTTCTGGGCTTGTAGTCTGCAGGGCATTGTAAGCTGCCCCCTTGTGGCCTTCCTCCTGCTGCAAACGGTAAGGGATCACTCCCCATTGGCTGCCAGGTGCAGATAAAAGGGCATCAAGCCACAGCATCACCAATGCGGTGTGGCCTGTGGTGATCTCCCTGTCTGAGCAGGACCACTTAGCAGAAGTCACACCCACGTGGGAGCTTGTGCCCAACTTGCTTCTGCTGCCTCGGTTTGGGTGGAAGCGTTTCCCCTTCCTCTTTTCTACACTAGCTGATGGATGGCTAGCATGTTAATTAAAAACAATGCACTCCCCTCCTGTCCATTGTACTGACTGACCCTCTCCCACCCAAGCCCCCACCTGTGTGTATCATCAATAAACTTGTGTGCTTTGATTTGATTGACAAGACAATGAAAAGGGGCGGAGCCTCGTCTTTCAGTTTGCTCACTGTCTGCACAAACAGGGAGACCAAATGCATCACAGAGTGCAGCTGTGTGGGCCCCTGCTCCCTGACAGGTGCACTCACCAGACCTCACAGGAGGCAGGGGCAGAAAGAGGCTGCTGTACTCAGGATAGATAAGCTTCAAGAGAAGGGCCGCGGGGAGCGGTGAGGGCGGGGTAGATTTAAGGTGTGTATAGACACGCAGAGGAGACCAGAGTCTTGAAGCAGGCACCCCGGGGCCCTGAGTACAGGAACCCCTAAAGCAAGTGGTCTCGTTGACTGGCCTGCTTGGGCTGAAGATCCCAGCCCTCGGCATTTCTCTGTGCATCCCTCAGTGACAGTGTCACCCACCTGTGCCCATCTGGTTGAGGACCCTCCCAGGAGGGATTGCCACTTGGCTGGCCCCGCATCTATGTGTCCCCTGAAGATGCTGTCAAAACCACTTCCGGGCATGCCCCCTTCCTTCCTCAGGAAGGATCCCAAGCACTGCCTCCTGGCTGTGCTCCTCTGTTGGGGAACCTCCCTTCTTTCCTGGCCCTTCCTAGAGGTGGAGCATCCAGGAACTCCCCACAAGGATAGTGAGGAAGATGCTGTCAGTGCTGTTCACGACTGGCCTCCAGATAGCCATGCTGTGCCTCTGAGATCCACATAGCCCTGCAAGGAAGAGGAGCAGCCTATGCACTGAGCCATGCGTCCAAGCCTGCCCAACTCATTCTCCCTCTCCCTCTGTCTCCCTCTTCCCCTCTTCCTCCCCCTCTCCCTCTTTCCCTCTCCCTCCCCCTTCCTCCCTCCCTCCCTCCCTTCCTCTCTCCCTCCCTTCCTCTCTCTCTCTCTCTCTCTCTCTCTCTCTCTCTCTCTCTCTCTCTCTCTCTCTCTCTCTGTCTCTCTCTCTCTCTCACACACACACACACACACATCCTGCACATTTCCAAGCCTCTGGAAACTCCCCTTAGCTCCTGCTTCACCAAGGCTAGCTTTCCCTCATGCTCGCCATGTATGAGGCAGCAGACACCTTCCCAAAGCCATGACAAAGCAAGAGACACAGTGCCTGCTTCCCTTGTGAGGCCACGCTGTTGCTGCTTCGGGACAGGTGTGATGGGCTGGTAGATGTCCCTGGGGTGCTGTTCTGGGTCACTGTGCCCTGTGCACCAGTGGTCTGTGTGCCCAGTGGCCTGCATCTCTCCATGGCTGTCATTCCCTCTTCTGCCTCCATACAGCATTTGAGTACCAAGTCTCCTGTCTGGACCCTGTTCCCGGCAGCATTCCATGGTGGCCAGTAAGCTGGGGTGCCTGCCAGGCCCCTGGACCAACTCTGGGAGGTTGTCCAACCAGGAGTCGATACTGGCCATCTCCAAGGTCCCGGGAAACTGGATGAGGACAGTGGCCTGTGATTATTGCCACACCACAAGCCATCACAGTTTGTGCCTCGGGCAGCCTTGGCTGACTGAGGGGCCCTGTCTTGTTTCCCAACAGCTTTGGTGCAGTCCACCCCGGCAGGCGGCCCCCTTGCCACCCCACCCCACCACCACCCGCAGCCCCCTTCTGCCTAGCGGTCCACGTTTTGGCTGGGTGATAGCAGTGGAGGAGGATTTTGTGCACACACCTGCCTCCTCTTGTCCTGGTCCAGTCTGCCTCGCCAGTGCTGTATTCAGTAACAGCCCACTGCTAGGCCTTTTTAACCTCAGCACAGAGGCAAGGCAGAGAGAGGCTCCTGTCCTTGCTGAAGCTTCTGGCCCAAATTAGCATGTGCCTCCCTACTCCTCTGCACATCTCAGAACTCCTGGTTCTGAACGATGCCATGGCCCAGCATCTCTCAGGCACTTGAGGCTTGAACACCGCTGCTGTCTCCTGGCTCCTGGAGGGCCTTAGAGGCTTCTAGCACACCTCCTGGGCAGCTGTGCCTTGGAAAGCCACCTGGCACCAAAGCTGCTCCACTACATTCATGATCCTGGCCCAGGTCGCCCCCTGCTGTCCATTTGGTGGTATTGCCCTCCTGAAAGCATTGCTTGGGTGTGGAAGCAGAGCTTTCTTGTCTGCCCCCTCATCCCTTGACTGGTCATGGTGGTGTGCATCCTAAGGTAGGAGGCCAGCCTAAGGTAGGGGGCCTTCTGATTCAGCGGTCATAGGAAGGGGGTTTTGATACAACACCCGGGGCTCCCATCCTGCTGGGCACAGACAAAGCGAGATCTACACAGCCCTGGGTCACAAAATGTTCCTGTCTGTTGCAGGGCTTTCCCATGCTTCCTTGCCGCACCCCCCCCCACTCCCCGGTCTACAGAGCTGTACCCTGCCTGGCCTGAGCTGTCTGCTGTCATGTGAGCCTGCTGCAGACTGCCTTCCAGCTCCTGAGAGAGCCCTGGATTTACTGCTGCTTCTTATGTGTACCTTTGTGTGTGGTACCCGAGGGCACTGTTTCCCCACACTCACGCTGGAGCCCTCCCCTGCCACCTGTTGTTCCTGGGGACTGTGTGCTTTCAGGTCCCCGCACTCCACTCCCTGGAAACCGGGACAGGATTACGTCTTCTCTGTTGGTTATTCCATGCTGGAACCATTCAGCCTTACTTGACCCCTCTGTGTCACAATCAGAACAATTTTCTGTCCCCAGCACTGACGTTTAAATGCTTTTTATGGACAAGTACTGCCATCACCAAGTCCATCTCTGTCTATGAACACTGTATGATTAAAGACACTGCTATGTTCTGCAACAGACAGCCGGGGGTGCTTGCTCCTGTTTTGCTTCTGGTTTTGTTGTGTTGGTCGGGAGGTTTTCTTCTATGAATGTGAACAAACTTCTTCCCTGAAGCCTCTCAGGAGCTACTCTAGCCTCTGCAAAGCTTATTGAGAACCCTAATGTCAATGAGTTTAGCAATGTATCATATTGGGCTGGTAGGTCTGAGGTTCAGAAGCACACTGAACCAGAGTCCCACACAGCCCTGCAGAACATGACACTTCCCCTGCTGTGTCAGATGTGACATTTGCCCTTTCCAGTCTGCCATTCTCCAGATATCCTTGCTCTGGGCTTGGAGTTTTGTTTTTCTTGATAGATTCTGTTTTGAGAATTTTGTTTTGTTTTTCGTTTTTGGCAAAATGATGGTAGTAGTGGATCTCTTTAGACACTCTTTAATTATAGAATGCGTCCCTGTAATAGTTTTGTCTGCTGTCTTGTGCATTCTTATTTCAAGTTTTGACTTACAGACGCGCTAAGAAGTACACTGTTAGACTGGCTGATTGTGACACAAGTCTTTAATCCCAGGAGGTAGAGGCAGGCAGATCTCTGTGAGTTCTAGGACAGCCAGGGCTATGTGGAGAGACTCTGGTTCAAAAGGCAAGAGAAAACAAGCAAACAAAACCAAAAAAGAAGTATACTGTTCAGCAAGATAGGCTGTAGTAATGTGATGTCTTCTCCTGCATGGACAGTTGAGGGTTCTGCCATCACTGGTCGAGTAGCCCATTCATAGCCTAGTATAGCGCCTTTATCCACCAAACCCAGCATTTTGTCTGTGGCTTGCTGACACTGAATCCCTCTGAGACATACTCCTTTCTCCTAGGCTACTCTAATTGACTTGACGAGCCTCAGCTTCCTGGGTGGCCCAATGCAGGTGGTGTGTGTTTTGGTGAGGAGGGTTTCTTAAAGTGCTTGTGAACAGGCCTCCACCTAGCTACTGTCTCAGGTATGTTGCTGCCTTGGGAAGCTTAGGAAGCCTCATTCTGCTGACTTTAACATCCTGGGGAATCAGGCCACCCAAGTCTCGTGTCCTCTGTCAAAGTCTTATGTCTTCAAGACTTTCTGCGTTTCAGAATACTGTACTGTACTGCCATAATGAACGTCACATTGCTATATTTATTCTACCCTATGCAATTATATATTTTCTAATGTAGTTTCAAATATCTATAAATATGCCCCAAAATAGGTCATAGAATTGTTTATGTGACCAGGTATATTGAAACAGCAAGGTAAATTTTACCAAGACCCTTTCCTTTTAAATTTAAAGGAATACTTATCCATTCCCTCCCCATTCAAAAATAAATTTACTAAGCAACGATTATTCTTGGTTGATATCAAAGTTATTCATGTAACATTATTCTATAGTCAGGTTATTTTGATAACCTCCTCATTTTTACTGTTTATTCTCTCTGAATTCTTATGTAGATAAACATAGTTTACAACTTATGGCAGTTTTATCTCTTGCTATCCAATAGTTCATACATAGTTCATTCCCTTTACTTATCTCTTTGCACAGTCAAGGACCTCAGAACAATGGCACTACAGTGCGTATTTATCTTCTTTCTTGTCTTAATGGACTGTGCTTCAGTGAAATGATGATGTCTACTGGAGATTTTTGAATAAGTAAAATGTCATGTATTTATATAATCGAATTTATAAAACAGCAAAAAATAAGTGGACTGGATCTCTGTATATCAGTCTAGACAATTCTCCAGTATGCAATGTTGGGTGAAATACTCAGTTTGCAGAAAGATGCAACAAAATGCCATTTATAACATTTTAAATATCTGAAATAATGCTACATATTATTTTGGATACATATATTTCTAGAAAAATTTAAAATGGCCTACTGAAAGGTGTGCATCAATTTTGCAATAGCATTTATGTCTGGGGTTAAATGTGACTCTAACATTGCAAGCAGCTCAATTTTATTAATTGTTCCTACAAATTATAATGAAACATTACAGTGTATTAATGTTTGTTGTTAATTATGTTTGATTTATGCTTAGATCATCACTTTACTCTGTACTCTTTTTTCATTAAGAAGAAAAATACATTGTGTATGTAATACAACAAAAGAAGAGTGTCCTTGCCTAAACACTTCCTCAAGAAATTTTAGAAAAATTGTCATTGAAAAATGACCCTAAAACCTTCTCTTAAAAATCAGATTGACATTAGACTCATTTATAAGATTGTGAAATGTTAACACATGAATACCTACAAAATC